TTTGCCGTTGCTTTCGTCAAAGATGCTTCCCCCCCCCCCCCCCCCCCGACGGCCATGGATGTCCTCGTGGTCTCCCATCTAAATGCCAAGCAGGTCGCTGATGATCTGTCAAGGCAGAAGTTCAGTAAAGTGAGTCTCCCGCTTGGCGGCTGGCGATGGGCTTCGCCTTTTCTCCCCTCGCTTAGCCGCGCAGAGGTCCACAGTCCCCCGCGAGGGAGGGCGCTCGCTTCCTCTCTGCCTCAGCCCTGCCTGGCTTCGCTTCGCTTCCCTTCCCTTCCCTTCCCTCGCCGCGGCTTCTGCGCTGATGATTGGTCCTCGCTTTGGGGCTGTTCTCCGTCCGGCTCGCTGGGAGAGCTTTCCATTCCCCACCCCCTCCGCCTGTCCAGTGGATTTAAACGGAGGCCCAGCTGCTCCTGTCCTTCTCCATGGCTGGGGGAGGCCAGCGGAGAGCGTCGGGCTCGCAGGTGCGCAACGCTCCGGCCGCCGAGTGCGGAAGAAAACCTCGCCGTGCACTTGCGGTAAGCGTGGAAGAGCAACCGTGCAGGTGGGAAAAAGCAGAAACCGGCAGCCTGTCATTGCACTTCAGACAGCCTCGCCTGGGAAGGCGGGCGGGGGGGGGGGGGGCCGGGGGTGGGGGCCCCCCCCCTCCCCCCAAAAAAAAAAAAAAAAAAAAGCCGCTCGTTGCAACGGGAGAAAATTCACCGTAGGGCGCGAGATATCTGCGCTCCTGGAGGGAGGGAAAGAGAGGGTGGCGCACAACTTGAACTTCCGGTAGCGATGCGAAGCGCTGTGAGTTCCAGCGCGTACAACGGAGTGGCTGCGGTCCTTGGCGCGGCGGATGGCTGAGGGTGGCTTTCCCTGCGGGCGCCTTGTCTCCCGCTCAGGCTGGCTGTGTTGCGCGATTGTATTTATTGTGGTTAACAGCTGTATTTCGCGCAATCCGTTTTCGTCCTCTCACAATACACTGAACCACAAACAAATTGCAAAATCTGAAAAGGCAATTGGCTAAGTTTATTTCAGTGCAAACGCAGGTTGTGTGTGAGACTCTGGTGTTCCATTGGATGTATTGTTGTTGTTCAGTCGTTAATCGTGTCCGACTCTTCGTGACCCCATGAACCATATCGCGCCAGGCCTTCCTGTCCTTCA